AGACAGGCAGACGGCCTATGCGAGGGCGGATCTGGGGTGCAGCAGTCCATGGTTATTGTCGGTCACGTTGATCCTGAGTGCCTCCAACGGCGACAGGGGGACAGTGAAAAGATCGACGGTACCAGTAGGGGCATATCGGAAATTTTCCGAATGGCTATCCGGTAGGGGCATGACACAAATTTGTTGTGGGTACCGGTAGGGGCATGACACAAATTTGTTGTGGGTACCGGTAGGGGCACTACAACAACATGTGAGGCCCAAATGACACCAGGGGTTTATGAAACATTTCACTACTGGTCAGAGGGGCGCGGCAAGGTATTTCGCATGTCGGAGGGGCGCGACGCAAATAAATGGAAAATACAGGGGCGCCAGACAAATTTTCCCAAAAAAGAAAAGGGAATTTTTGGATATGTTCAAAATGCCCCTACCGGTACTGGTTCGAAATTTCTGGTATGCCCTAGGTACGCCCTACCGGATAGCCCATTGGCCAAAAAAAAATCCATATGCCCCTACTGGTGCCTTCATCTTTTCAGTATGCCCCTGTGCCCGTTGGTGGCAGTCACGGCTGTTCCCCTGCCCCTGGGAGGACTGTTACCGGGGCATATCGGAAATTTGTCATACAGCCCAAGTTTCTGCCGTGCCCTCAATTCGATGGAAAACTCTCTCTCTCTCTCTCTCTCTCTCTCTCTCTCTCACACACACACACACACACACACACACACACACTGTTGCATACTACCGTCTTCCCCCGAACACAACGCACCCTCATCTTGGCTGTACTGGACCGGAAATATAGCTTGCATACGTTCAATTTCAGGGTGCGTTATATTCGGGGGAAGACCGTAGTGAAGCGAACACAAGTACGATGCAGAACCCGGAACCGACCAATGATAAAGAGCAATACAATGCAGCGGAAGACTGATAAATATCGATCTGACTCACATCTGACTCGGACTAGACACAGACTCACACACATACATTCATCAGGTGAGATGGCCTGGCAGTCCAAATATGGATGATGGCGCCAGGGCCTGCATGGCCGGCACAAACCACACACAGACGAAATGTAGGGGGAAGAGACGAAGAGAGGAGGAGAGATGGCGCCAACACCAATGTCACTGAAATAGAAATCGTGAAATGTCGAAGATACAAAATCTCGAAATGCTGCTGATGTCAGATCTTGCAAAATAGTCCTCTCAATATCTTAGTCCGAAATAGTCTCCGTCCTCATCACCGATAACCCACCATCGATCTCTGTCCAGATAGTAACCAAGAAGGTAGAAGGTCAGAAGAAGACGAAGAAGAAGAAGAAGAAGAAGAAGAAGAAGAAGAAGAAGAAGAAGAAGATGGACCTAGAGGGGCAGAGGAGAAGGTGGAGATGGAGAGGTGGAGAGGAGGAAGATCCTCACTGCCCTGATCCAGTGCCCAGGCGATAACCAGCTGGCGCAAGATTCCGCCTTGGAGCTGCTGAAGACCCGTCCTTACTGCTGGAGCTATGGTGCTCGCCGGTAGGTGCAGGTAAGTCCCTCTCTCTCTCTCGCCTATGCAGCTAGCGCTACTGCCTGGAGCTGCGCTAAACCCAAAATAGCGCAGCGCTGCTGCTCCTCAATGCTGCGGCCTCAAAGTCCCCCAAACAGACCGCTGGCCGGTACTAAGTACCGGCGGTGGCCTGTTCGGCCTGGCTGCTGAGAACCTGCACTGTGATTTGGACCGTAGATCGATCTGACGGTTCAGATCGGACCCGCCAGGGAAACTGCAGCCTCAAGCTTCGGCCGCCAGGTCCAAACGAAAAACGTTTGGACCGGTTTCCCGCTCAGGGTCTGCAGTTGCAGACCCGGGTCTAAAACCGGTTGCTGAAGGTCGGCCTTTCCAAAGGTCCGACTTTTAGCCCAGCCCGGACTGGCCCAGCGTGGCCACGGTCGGGAACAACCCCCTAGACCTAGCCGTCGGGCCTAACAGGGCCCATGTGGAATCCAGTATAACACACACACACACACACACACACACACACACACACACACACACACACACACACACACAAACACACTGATTCATTTGATTTTGGTCATCCTATCGATGGAAGTAGCGTGAGGCCAGCCGGGGGGTTGGAGACTTACCTGTTGGCCGGTGTGTTGCTCATCCTATGGAAAACTCTCTCTCTCTCTCTCTCTCTCTCTCTCTCTCTCTCTCTCTCT